GCCTTCAGTGTCTGGGTGTGAACAGCTCAGTTCTGACAAAACAATTACTAAAATGCCTCAGTGCTGGTTTAGTTGATTGGCGCTAATTAAGTCACAGCATATCCTCAGGTGGTAATAATTCCTAATAAATAAAATTCTGAGGACAAAAGACATTTCAGTAAGAATTTGTTAACAAGAGCAGAAACAGTACGATCTCGTGCCACTTAATGACGGGGGTACATTCTGAGAAATGCATTTGTTAGGCGATTTCAGCATTGTGCAAACATCACAGGGCGCACTGATGCACACCTGGGTGGTCGAGCCCACTACACACCTGGGCTGTATGATTTGGCCTATGGTTCCTCGGCTACAAGTGTGTATAGCACGTTACTGTACAAACCAACACGAGCTTAAATCAAGCACAAGAGAAAATGATGCAGTCAAGAGACAGGAGATGCAACACAGTGTGCACACTGCCGGTGCAACACAGTGTGCTTTCTTGCAGCAAACTTTTTTTTAATAAGTAGAGTACACTATATAATAATGATAAATAGTATGGTACAGTAAATACACAAGCCAGTAACGTAGTCGTTTATTATCATTATCAAGTATTGTATACTGTACATAATTGTATGTGCTACACTTTTATACTACTGACAGCACAGATCTGTTTACACCAGCGTCAGCACAAACACGTGAGTAACGAGGCGTGCTATGATGTCAACACGGCTGCGACATCACTAGGCGACAGGAATTTCTCAGCTCCATTATAATCTTACGGGACCACCATAGTATATGTGGTTCGTCGTTGACCAAAATCATTATGTGGTGCGTGACTGTGGTAATTTTAGTGGGCTCTATCTTTGATACTCAGAAAAACTTTGTTTTGGTTGTGTATTATGAATGTTTAGTGCTATTCACTAATAAACTTTAGTGTGTAAATTTAGAAATGGGTTTTATTTTTCTTAGTGTTCCTGTAAAGCAACAATTCTCAAATTGCTGTGTGATTTAATATGTGTGACAAGTAATCCCTTAGGAAGTCCTGGGAACTACACGTTAGGTTCTTATTTTTGTACCAAACATTTTGTTGGCTTTAGGAAGCATATCTGTTTTGGAGGAAAACAAATATGCACATGGCTGTGGTGGCCATGCTGGGGCAGATGGGTGGGTGCCCAGTGCTGAGTCCCCCAGAGGGCCAGGAGGCAGGCCTCGGCTGTAGTTCTGGTCCCTGGTCATCAGCCAAGGTGGGGTGGGCTTCACACAGGACCCACGCCTGGTTCTTTACGACATTGTAGTCTGATGCCTTGTTGAGGCTTTCTTCCAGCCCCCCTACCGCCCCTAGGGCTAGGGGATAGTGGCCCATTCCTGCAGGTGGTCATCAAGTCTGTCTTATGCTCATTGGTTGTCTGTTCTTTCCCACCAAATGACTGATGGCCGCTCTCACTGGGATGGCTGTGGCAGAGGAGCTGCCTCTGGGGACAACAGCAGCTCTGGGTCAATGCACTGTTACTATTAGCTATCTCCGGGATGCCTCTAGGGCCCCTTCCTTCAGCACACCTCTGGGAAAAGAGCACCGGGTATTAACTGCGGGAAGTTCCTTCCACAATAAATGGAGACAACCTCATTGCCAGTGCCCTGCATGAGTGCTTTCCCCTAAAAAAAAAAAAAAAAGCACGTGGATGAAGGGGAACTAGTGGGAATTACTTATTTAGATGCTGAAAAACAATTCTGCAGTAACATCTCTGAGAGAACCAAAGCATTGGCCGTTTGGAAGAAATGTCTGGTGGGAAATATAGTGACAATAAGCAGAGGCAGGGGGTGGACACTCCTTCTGTAGAGGAGCAGTGTGAACACTGGGCTGTTCCTATAGGGAGAGGCATTTGTAACCAGCCTCGTGGTACAGGACATAGCAAGCTTTCTATGTGGCCAGCTGCCCATGGCCGGCTATAGACAGAATGGCCTGGAGAGAGGTGGACTGTCTTCAGCAGAGGAAAGGATTGAGTGGTGTGCACGGGAGCCTGGGGGGGAGGCTGAGGGCCGAGCACACCAGGCCCGATGGCGCTGTGGGTACACATCGGAAATACACAATTGTCCGTGGGTTCTGCTTCTTGTAAAATCTTAGGGTGCTGCAAAAGAATTATTTCCATGGTGGAGACTTCTGGCTGGGTTTGCTTGCCCTCAGCTTTTAAAGAGAGTCCAGCTCCAGCCCCAGGGAGGATTATTGTAAATTAAATAATACATACTTTTAGACCAGGTATATTTGGGATAAATTCTTATTTTTTTCATTGGCTAACGTATGCTTGGTTATTTTGTCTTTCCTGTCTGATCCACCCTAATGCTGGTGTCTGGTTACAGGTACCGTTGTTGGACACCGGTGACATCATCATTGATGGGGGAAATTCTGAATACAGGGACACCACAGTAAGTATCCTTCAGTCCAGGTTCTCCCAGGCTCTGAGCACACTCTGGGGAGAGTATGAGCCTGCACCTGTGACAGAAGAGCGGACTGTCCTCCCGTGGTGCTGGCTCTGGGGGTGGGGCAGGCGTTCCCAGCCTTTTGCTCAGACTTGCTCCATGGGCTTCTCATCAGTCACACATAGAACTCAAGTGACTGCCACTCAGACACAGAGGCAGGAGTTACGGCTGCCTTCCCTTCCTCCCCCACCGGCGCGTAGCGAGGTTGAGGACCAGCGTGATGCTCACGTCCCGGGAGGAGTCCCCGCACAGCCTCGGTGCTGAGCGGCGCCAGTCGTACTTGCATTAAACCAGCTCTCGGCCGAGTCTGATGACACAAGGTCTTTTCCAGGAACATGAGAGCATGTGTTGGGCTTAGTTACTCCTTTAGGGTCAGGGTAGCTGTCTTAAACGTCCATGAATTTTTCTTTTTAACTCCCAAACTGAGGGTGTCACATTTCTCTAATGACCAGGTTGTTCTTGGATCCTGGGTCATTTCGTGTCAAATGATGGGCCTCCATTCCTGTCACCCCTCCTATCCTTCACTGGAAGAAACCTCTTTTAAGGAAGCGTAATGAAGTGCTTTTCCTCTCGTGTAGAGACGGTGTCAAGACCTCAAGGCCAAGGGAATCCTGTTTGTGGGGAGCGGCGTTAGTGGTGGCGAGGACGGGGCCCGGTATGGCCCATCACTCATGCCCGGAGGGAACAAAGAAGCCTGGTGAGTGCCAAATGTGCCACCCGCATTCAGCACAAGGGAGCCTGGGCTTTGAGAATGCGGAGCCCTGAGCCCTCTGCCGCTTGACATCCTCTGTGGGGACAGTGCTGGCGATAGGAGATGCTGGAAATACCTGGTTACATGTTCTGTTGCTTTGATGTAATGCACGTGCATAGCCCTCCTGTGCCTCTTTTCCCCGCTACTCCCGCCAAGGCTGATCGTGGACGATCTGAGGGCTTAAAGGGCCAGAGCCTCTAAGGACGCTCACAGATGACATCCTGTGCACTGTCTGGGTTTCGGAGTACCATCTGCCTCTTTAACTGATGGATGGTCCTAAAATAACTTGATTTAATAATAGTGAGGGATGGAAAAATCTGACTGGGTCTCTCTTGTCCCTGGGAATGAAGTGGGAGTGTTTTATTTGACTTGGGAAAACAAGTTTTATGTTGTTCACTGTG